TCCCAAGAGTTTGTTCAGCATGGATTTGGGGTCGGTGTGCTCACTTTGCCTTTTAAGGACACTGGGTAGGGGCTGAGGCTGGAGCTCCGTGGTAGAGCACTTGCCTAGCGTGTGTGAGGCCCTGGGTTCGATCCTCAGCACCACATGTAAGTAAGTGAGTAAAATAAAGGTCCATACCTATAAAATATTTTTAAAAACCCACTGGGTAAGAATACAGCTTGTGCGAACACGGAGCTCTGTCGCCTCTTGAGTTTTGCCTCATTGCCTGGAGCCGCGCATGGACGCCAAGGGCGTCTGTCTCCGAGTCGTCCTGTTAAGACCTTCAGTGGTAATGAGCCCGGGGTTCGCTTAAGTTGGGGAGAGATGGCTTCTGGTAGACTTAACTTCCATCACCTGTCGTTTAAAACCAGTCCATGTGCTGGTTCTTCATAGGGGGCTGTCAGGATGAGGGGTTCGTGATGAGAATTTTCCTTTTTTATTTTTATTTTTTGCGGTACAGGGGCTTGAACCCAGGGGTACTGTACCACGGAACTCCATCTCTAGCCCTTTGTATTTTTTATTTTAAGAGAGAATCTTGCTGAGTTGCCGAGGCTGGCCTCAAACTTGCAGTTCTCCTGTCTGGGCCTCCTGAGTCACTGGGATGGCAGGTATGCCCCTCGGTGGTACCCAGCAGACGATGGTCTTTTTAATTTATTTTCCTTTGGGGAAAAAAAAATTGTGTAGGCAGAATTTCCCTGAAGTCATTGACTCAGAGGAAATGTTGTTTATATAAAAATGGTTGCAGGTACTATAACCACACTAGAGGCAGGGACGTAAATATGCAAAGCATTGCTGATTTTCACACTTTGTCCAGTGCCATGTCACCAAGCCACACAGGGACCCGGGTTCTCCTTGTGATGCAGTTTCATGTGTGGATGGTTGTCTCAGGGGGAGGCTGTGGGGGTCCCTGCTCTTCCATTCATTCTTTGGCTGCTCTTTGGCGAGCACCTACTGGGTCCTGGGTAGATCTGAGGGTCTGGGGAGACAGCCAGGGTGGCCAGATAAAGACCCAGGATGCCCAGTTAAAATTCAGTCTCCGGCCAACAGTGAATACGTTTTAGGCTTAAGCCAGTCCCATCCAGGACATCTGCTCAAGAGAGCATTCGTTGTCTGGAATTTAAACTGAGCTGCACATCCTCTGTTTTTATCTGCTAAATCTGGCCACCCTTGGTAAGCCAGTGAGAAAATCAGATGGATCTCCCTGCCCTTGCGGGTACTGATATTGGAGTTCAAGGAACAGCGGACGAAGGTGAATCCACATAGAAGATGTGGTAGGGAGAAGGACCCTGGGGCCAGCACGCAGGGTGAAGGGCCAGGAGAGGCCAGGGATGCCATCGCTAATGGGAGTGGCAGGGGAGGTCTCCCTGAGCTGAGATCTGAGGCCAGGCAGTGTCAGAGGGGACAGGAGGGGCGAAGGCCTGTTGGCACTTTCAAGAGCAGGTGGATGATCAGGGGCAGAGGGAGTAAGAGGAGGAGAAAATGGCAGGAAGGAGGCCCACGTGGGGCAGCTGGTGCAGGGCCTGAGAGCGAGGCCTGTTTGTTCATTCCCAACGTCCCCAGATGAGCTGGGGGTGCAGCTGGTGGAGCAGTGCTACCCTGGGTTCAATACTCAGAACTGCAAAATATGTAAAATAAAAATAATGGGAAGCCACGGGAAGGTTTATGGGCTATGGCTTTTAGTTTTATTTATTTTATTTGGAATTGAACCCAGGGATGCTTTACCTGAGCCACAAACCTAGACCTTTTTAAATTTTTTATTTGGAGACAGGCTCTTGCTAAGTTGCTTGAGGCCTTGCTGGTCTGCTGAGGCTGGCTTTGAACTTGTGATCCTCCTGCCTGGGCTGGGAGCTTTAAAGGGGCCTCCTGGAGGCTGACGTTTGTGCAGAGGTGGAAGCTGCGTGTCCAGGGCGAGGCACTTGTCCTGCTGAGAGACGGCAGGGCTTGGATTACTGGGAAGATAGCAGGGACAGGGATGAGGAGGGGTCATGGTCATGCTACATTTCGAAGGTGGAGCTACCTGCATTGCCGAGGTTTGCGGGTGGGGTGAGAGAGCAGAGGGCTCCAGGAGCACGCCTCCATTTCTGTTGGGAGAACCGGATCCTGAAAGGACAATGCATGTGTTGGAGGAAAGGACAACAGGACCTGGTTCGGGACATGCTCACTGTGAGATGTTCTTGGACACCCCGGGAGAGGCATGAACTGGCATTTGGGTATGCAAACCCAATTTCCTGGGAGAAGACCAGGTTGTGGATAAAATGAGCTTCATGCCAACAGGGGGACAGGAGGGCAGAGCTGTGGGCAGTGGGTCCCTCCAGACTGCAGTCTTCTTTCAGACCCTCCAATGCTTCACCCTGCCTCCCACCTCAGGACCTTGGCACACACCATCCCAGCTGTCTGTTACTTCTCCCCCTCACAATTCCCTGGCTTTTACTCGATCTCCTGAGTCCCAGCTTAAAAATCCCCTCCCTGGTGAATGAAGCCTTCCCTGAATTCCCTGCTACGTCAGGGTCTCTGGTCCCAGCTCTGCCTCACCTCCTCTTTCCCTTCGTGCTGACATCCGAGTTTGTAATTAAGCTTTGGATAGAGGCTGGTTGACCGGAGCTGGATTTCTGGGCAGTGGTGACATTTCAGTCTCAGTGGCCCCCCTGTCCCCTCACTGCTGTGTTGGAGGCTGGGAAGGCTCCTAGGCCGGGCTCTTGCTAGGAGGCCAGTCACAGGGCAAAGGGAAGGGACAGAGCCGCACCGCTAGGGCCCGTCCCGCCTAGCCTGGTGGCCTCTGTGCAGAGGGGTCATGAGTTGGCTCCTAAGAGCTCAGTCATTTATTTTGAAATGAAAAGAGGCCTCCCCCAGCCCTGCCCTCCTGGGGGGCCTCAGGGAAGAGGCCCTCTCACCCCACAGAAACCCTGCCGTGGGTCAGAGCTGCTCTGGGCCTGTTTGCTTGAAGACTGGAAGCTTCCAGGAGATGCCCACTGTCCCGAGGGACACCCAGGACTTGGATTACGGGGGTGGGTAGCTGGACTTTATTCAAAATGTCCCGAATCATCCACCCTTCCTAAGGCCGAAGTGCACTTAGGCAGTGCCCTGTGGCACTTGGCCATTTTTGTTTTTGTTGTTCTGGGGACTTAAGCCCCAGGCCTCACGTGTGCCAAATCAGCTCTCTTACCACAGAGCCACATGCCAGCCCTGAGCTTGCGCAGCTGTAAAGTGGTTCCCTTTATTATTTTATCTTACAACTGGGTGTCTCAAGGGGAGATCGGGGTGGTGAGAGTTAGGTTCTTGTCCTAGCAATTGGGTGGCCAGGGGAAGAGGCCAAGGGGAGACCCTTAAAGAGAAGCCTAAGGCTCATCCACACCAGGAGGCAAACATTCACCCAGCCACCCACCCACGCATCCACCCTGCAGGAACTAGGAATGACCCCACCATGGCCCCTGGCTCGGTGGGTCTCATAGGCCAGTGGAGAAAAAATTCCCCGTCTTTGCCGGGTGGCACAACTGTGCTGACAGTTCTACCAAGATTATGTTAAGAGTAGTTTCCCCGGGACTGGGCTGTAGCTCAGTGGTGGAGCCCTTGCCTAGCATGCATGAGGCCCTGGGTTCCGTCCCCAGCATGCAACAGACAAATAAAAAAAAAAAAAAGAGTTTCCCAGAGGAGCCCACTGGTGAGCTATTCTCGGGAGAGAGGGACATCCTAGGCAGGCAGAATCAACAGGTGTCCACCAGCTTAGAAGCAGCTCATCCTTACAGGGTGGAGGGGTGGGACGGGAGGTGGGCGTGGACTGATGCTACCAGTGTTTCTCCTTTTCCACGGTGGAACAGGAGGCTGGTTCCTCTATTTATTTCTTACCCAATTCTAGGGTCTGGACCTTGGATCACTGCCATTAAGACCCACAATACATTTCCTACCACATACTTGGCTTTCAGTTTCCTGTCTAAAGTCACCCCCTCCTCCATCGAAATTTCTTAGTCAGCTTCTCAGATTTTTGTAGAATGCACATACTACATGGGTCCTCAGGCCTAGGAAACAAAGAGAGGGACTCCCCCACCTCCCCCCATTTTTAAAATTGGTGCATTACAGTTGTACATACTAACAGGATCTGCTGCCACATATTCATACATGCACACGATCTAACAATATAATTTGACCAATATCTCTCCCCAGCACTTCCTTCCTCTGGGCCCTGCCCCCTGATCCCTTTCCTCTACTGATCTCCCTTAGATTTTCATGAGAACCCCCTCCACCTCTGCATACACACACCTTCCTTCTCCTTTCTCCTCTCTATCTCCCCCACCAGAAAGAGATTTCTTTAGGTGTTGACAACCAGAAAGTGCTTCTCAAGACTTTGAAACAGGTCTGGGGCCGGGCCCAGGCCCTTGCCATGGAGCTGGAGTCTAGACTAGTGGCTGTCACTCTGGCCCCACATTGGAAGCATCTGCTGAGTTTTTGCAAAATACAGACACCTGACACCTAGGTCCCATGCCCAAACTTGGTGGTTACATTGGTATCTGGTGTGGCTCAGGTATTTGAACTTTCTTCCCCCCTTTTATTAGTGCATTATGGTTTTACATAAAAGTTAGGTTCATTTTGACAAAAATCACACAGGTGTAGAATTTGATTTATTCGGATTTTTTTTTGGGGGGGAGGGGAGGGTACCAGGGATTAAACCCAGGGGCACTCAACCACCGAGCCTCATCCCCAGCCCTATTTTGTATTTTATTTAGAGATGGGGTCTCACTGAGTTGCTTAGTGCCCTCCTTTTGCTGAGGCTGGCTTTGAACTTGAGATCCTCTTGTCTTAGCCTACTGAGCTGCTGAGATCACAGGTGTGTGCCACGGTCACCGTGCCCGGCAGCTAGTTGAACATTCTAACAACACCCCTGGTGACTGTAATGTGTAGCCTGATGAAAACCCCTGGTCTAAGTGCAGTCGAGAACACCGGTCACAGCTGTGCTTCTCTGTGTCCAGGTGATGAGCACAAGGCAGGTGGGGACAGTGCCTTGCTGCATCCCCAGCATCTGCAACTGTGCCAGGTACCTGGCAGGTACTTAGTAAATACTCGTGAGAGGACGGAGGATGGATAGCTTTGTATGGATCCCCTTTGTGGCTAAGGTGGCTCGCCCTCAGAGCATACATCCTGCTTCTTACCAGCTAAGGGTATAGTCACTGCAGCCAAGCCACCATTCCCTGGGGGAGCTGAGGACCTTCCCTGCCTAATCTTGTGGTCCTCAACACTGGTGGCACTTCAGATTCACCTGAAGTCTAAATGTCTTTGGACATTCTGGTTCGGTGGGTTTGGATTACAGCTCGGGCCCAGTATGCAAGAGTGTCCCAGGTGATCCTGACGCGCTGCTGAGGACGCTGCTCCAGTCTTTTCTACTTCCCTGTTCCCCAACTTCAGAAACATGAAGTCAAGAGACTCCTAGAAGTGATTGGGAGAGTGACACCGGATTCTCGAGTAGTGCTGGCCAGTCATGTCTGTTCATAACACTCGCCTTGGGTGCTTGGTTAAAACTGCTGTTCCTAGGCTGGGGCTCAATGGTAGAGCACTTGTTAGCATGCACGAGGCCCTGGGTTCAATCCCCAGCACAATAAGATCAAAATAAATATCCCTCCAAACCAAAAAGTACGAGTTCTTGAGCCTGTAATCCAAATTTATGGACCCAGAAACTCAGGGAGGGACCCGGGACTTCATGTGGTAAACAAGCATCCAGGTGTCCTGGTTCCCTGCCAGCCACAGCCTGCAAGGGCACACACTCCCTGCTCTGGCGCCCACGCACCAGACCACTTCCAGCTCTTGCTCTGCTCCTGCCTCTCACTGCCAGACACTCCCCGTCTTCATCAGTCAGTCTCCTTCAATGTCACTTCCCTACTGAGCCCTTCCTGTCACCAAGGGACTGAATGAAGCCGCCCCAGCTCACAGTCTTTATCCTATTAGCCTGGCACCCAGAGGGGAGGGGGTGACAACCTCTGGCTCCTTATCTCCTTCAGCCTTGCCCATTCCCAGAAACCAATGCAACAATGGCTGGTCCATGCTGGGGCCCAGCACCTGGCACTGGTAGGTGGCCAGAAGTAGGGACTGCAAAGTGGTATGAGCTTCAGAGCATCTGAGCCTTTTCCAGCCCCTGGGACATGCAGTCAGGGGCAGGCAATCGTGCACAGCTATGGGCACACAGGAGCACCTGGGGACAAGAGTGTACAATAGAGGGGAGTGGGTGCCCACCTCCAAAGACAGAAAGCAAAAAGTCAGGGGCAGGCATCAGCGCAAAAGCGCAAGTGGCAGCAGGTTTCTTCCCTAGACCGTGGGTTGGGCAGGGCGCGGCCCGCTCACCCGGGGAAGGTGGGAGGCAGCGACCGCCCCAGCTGCGGGCGGTGGCCCAGGCCAGTGGCCAAGCGCAGTGCCCCGAGTGCGGCCAGCGAGCGGCCTCCTTCCTCCC